CTTAATGGAATACTTCATTAACTACCAAGTTTTCCATATAGAGTTCATGGTAATTACAAGAAGTGGTGTATATGTTAGGAATCATCATTATCATTACAATTATGATTTTTATATCTTCATTGGTTGCATCCTGTTGTGTGTTCCAGATATATATAGGAATTAGGTTAACAGTCAACACAACAGATATACTTGCTTTGTAATGTTTATTTTGTATCTTCTACTTTAATTGTAACACCAATTTGACACAAATTTTATGATAGTGTATAATATGACACATCGCACTGGGACGGATCCATATCGGTAGTTCAGTAACTATGTGTATTCTTATATATTACTCCCTGATGATGGCCTCATATGACCGAAACATGTAGCACGAATAAAAAGTTGAATTGTAAAACATTAAAAAGCGAGTATATTTCTTGGGTTGACAGTTAACCTAATTCGTGTGTGTGTGTGTGCATGCATGATATTTTGATATGGTTTTTTGGTTGTGACTTATGCACAGTGGCACTTTGTAAGGAATTTTGATACGTTTACAAGCATGTGTATATTTCATAAAATTAATTGTTACCTTTTTTATTTTTATGTGTCTTGGAAGAGTATGCAGCTCAGTTGTAAAGACATTTAGGAAATATTATTTAAATAACTGTGAATGAAAACATGCTGAAACACTTTCAAACATAACCTCTGCAGGAAGCTTTATGACACATTTTTATATATTCATTTACATAAATTGTCAATGAATAATCCGTCAAGTGTAACAACGTTCTTAGGTCACTTATTTATTTCACTCGCCTTACATGTTTCGGTTCAAAAGAACCATCATCAGAGGCACGTTACAAACACATGAAACCACTGGCGTTGTATTGTACACAGTATGTATGTAAGCTGCGTGATCTGCTACAGATGTCGGAGTGTAAAAGCACAACACTTTCTAGTAACGTTGAATGCATGTACACCTCTTGCATTCCATCCAAAGAATGCTCTCAAATTGAGCCGTCAATGTTAAAATATTTAAAAGCTTAAAACATTTGAAATAAAATTTGGCTCCTTCTTGTTGATTCGTCCCGGTGATGGGAATCGTCAACTTGAGGTTGTGTATGCTGCAAAGATATTGTATTATATTAGGTTTTATATATTATTATATATTTAATTTTTATTTTCCCTTAGTGTTGTATTTGATCCTTGCTTACCTTTTGGTCGGATGTGTCTTACGCATTGTGTGTTGTATACTGCAGTGGGTGATCTACGTCAGTGTTATTTAAGGCCTTGTGTGTTATGACGTGGTGGTGGGTGTGTTTATACAAGTAGTAATGTTCATTTTTCATTTTTAAAGAATAAGAGACAGTTAATTATGGCGCACCTAGTATTAAGAACAAACTATGTGGTCATAAGGTTTTCACCACCACCACCCGCACCAGCACTGTGGTCAGATTTGTTATTTATTTTGTCCACTGTTCAGTAATATATAATGATGTTTCTTCCATAGAGTGAAAACTAGCTCAAGTTATGCTATCGATTTGCTTTTCACACAAAAAGATAGCCTTCAGAACATTTATACAAGTTATGTGCAATAACATTGAACAGTTCGATATAGTGTTCACTGCAAGGCATTGAACTACCTGCCAGTTGTGTCAGTTTTATTTAATTAACCCTTTGATAGTGTGACTGACATGGCTTTTCAGTCATCCTGTAAAAGACAGTAGTGCAAGCAACAGACTATACTTATATCTTCCTTCTCTAGGTTATAAGAGCTGTAGTTGTTTCCGCACATGCGTGAATGTGTGGTCAATGCAGTGAGCTTGAAAGAATTTTTGTGGCTCTTAGATTTCCCATATTAACTTGATGAAACATTTTATGTTGGTATAGTATGGCTAATGCTACTTTAGTAAAACCTAGAGTTTCTTTATGTAAGAATAACTCTACCACCTCAGGTTGCCAAATGGTATTAGACAGACTATGCATGCAATTTGTGGTTAATGTTGTACCTAGGAACACTTACATTACTTACAACTTGCGGCAAGTACTGTACCTGGGTCAGTGTGTGTTACTTGTACCATGCCTCTATCAGTTGAAATGCTGTTACTGTAAAAGCAATAGTATATTGTAAGCACTGGACAGGCTGTAGTATCAAGCAAGTTGGCTAAAGCACTACCACTTATTACTTGTATTTGGAAGGTGTTTGGTTTGGATCCCAGCTGAGACACTGAATGTCCTGGCATATTTTTCTTGGATTTCCTCAATCAGCTAGATAAATGCCACAGTGACTTAACTGCTTCCTTTCCCATTTTTCCAGTCCAGTATCATTCAGTTATTTGATTCTGTATAGTCTGAGGTGGGCAGGTCATGTAGCACGAATGGGGGAGACGAATGCGTGTAGGATATTGGTGGGAAAGCCAGAAGGAAAGAGACCACAGGGAAGACCAAGGCATGAGTGGGTGGACAATATTAGAATGTATCTTAGAGAGATAGGATTGTATAGATCTGGCTCAGGATAGAGACCAGTGGAGGGCTCTTGTGAACACCGTAATGAACCTTTGGGTTCCATAAAATGCTGGGAAATTTTTGAGTAGCTGCAGAATTGGCGGCTCCTCCAGAAGGGCTCGGCTCCATGAGTCAGTAAGTAAGTAATAGGCTTAGTTACAGACAATGTTATTAAATATATTGCACATTAGACAGATTTTAATAGATTGTATGTAATGTGGTTGGCAAGTAGAATCATGAGATTTCTGCATCATGATGTACAATAGCTGCAAGATCGTTAGAATTATTTTATCATTGTTCTTGTTAGTTGTACTGCGAAAATCTTTTCTGTTTGATAAACACATAAAAATATATATGAGAATAGTGAAGGAAAAGGCTGTTATAAGCACTCAGAGTAAAATATTTAATGTCTATTCTCCTTGTACTGCAGTAGGATTTTACTTGTTCATGTTAATAAGACAATGCTTGAAACAATTCTTGTAATAAAATGCTGCTGTAAGTAATTTTTCAACCATTGTGCCTTCAATTTATTCTCAGTTTTGGAACTGTTTGGTGGTTAATGCATATTTTTAAAATAGTTGTAAGTAATGCATGAAATGATAGGAGAAATAAAAAATGGGCAAAGATTTATGGCATTGAGGAGAAGGAAATATGCCATTTACTTTACATGTAATGAATGACTTGGATTGTAATGTCTTATTTTCATAAATGCTGCCTCTTTTCTTCTGTTGTTGTAAATTAACTCATATTATATTCAACACACATTTGCTTTCCCTGATGTATGTATTATAAAATTAAGAATGGGGAACCGATGAAACTGTAAATTAGACCGTAGAAGTATCGATGCTTTTCATGGGGATTGTTTTAATGAAGTGGCATTTATTTTTCTAAATTCCAATAAATTTCTTGTCACTACTCAAAGAAGATAGTAGTCTTAACAGTGCAGGAACATTTTCAGAATTGTATGATTATTTACAGGTGGCTTGCATGCAGTTTGTCAATATTGTGGTGCATTCAGTGGAAGACATGAATTTCCGGGTTCATCTCCAGTATGAGTTCACAAAACTTGGACTTGATGACTATCTGGAGAAATTGAGGCATACAGAAAGTGAGGAACTTCAGGTATATAATTTGTTGTTAATAAATTCTTAGGACTGTTGTATGTGTTGTGCACTTAAAAATAACTTAACCAGTCTGAACAATCTGTATTCCCCACACCAAGGAACACTTACCTACCCGAGATTTGTTTAAATGACTATTTTCTGGTGGTCATTAATGATTGAGGATGTTGTAAATTCAGTGAAATCCCCGTTTGAGATTTTTTTGGGGGGTGCAGTGAGCTTTAACATGAAACCAAGAAAATTTTGAAGGGAAGAAATTCAGTACAGAGGTAACTGACTTAGGATAATTGGAATTGGAATTTTAAGTGGGGGTTCCCCTGTAGGGAGATAGTGAACACTGCCCTTGCTACATGAAGTACACCAAGGTGTTATAAACCCCTTATACAGAATTGTTTCCTGTTGGTTTTATACATCCATCACACTTTCTATGGCCCATTATTACGTGTAGTATCTAAGTGTTCTTCTATTCTTATCTTTGTAATATCTACAACACTGCTCTTAAAAAATAAAAGTTGTGTTAGATATGAATATATTGTTCATTTCATGGCCAGGTGCAAATTTCTGCCTACTTGGACAATGTGTTTGATGTTGCTGCTCTTATGGAAGACAGCGAGACAAAGACTGCAGCTCTGGAGAAAGTGGCTGAACTGGAAGATGAGCTCGGACATGTGAGTTGCAGTTATAATAAGTTGATTTTGTTTGAGTGAATCAATTTAATACCGCATATTGCCTTTGAATTTAGTAGCCACTGTGAACACCTTCTCATCTGCTTGTGTGAGATTTGAGGTTGTTTCTTCAGTGACTCTGAAGATCACTGTCATCTAGGATGTGACACCTTGTAGTCTGGTAGATATTTACCATCATTTAAGAGCAATTGCTACCCATACTTTTAAGGTAGAAGATCGAATCAGCACCTTCATGCATAACATCAGTAAACACCTGCCATGGCGTCATATTCCAGAAAACAGTAATCTTCATACTTAATCCACCCGTGGTTTGACCATTCATTTAAAACACAGGTGTATGGTGGCGTCAGCTCACTATTTTGCAAGTATTTGAATTTTAAATGAGATTTCATTATATTTTTCTATGTAGGAAGGATTAAGCCTTTATCATTTTACTACTTCCTACTACTCAGAATTACTGGGTTTTTGGGCTTTGTCCATCATCCGGTATTCTAGAAACTAGAAAACACAACATTTCGGAAACTGGATATGTTTCTGTCCTTAGGTTGGAGGGAAGACACCTGGTCTGTTGGGTCCCTTAGAAAGAGCTAACCTCAATCACTGGAATCCAGTGACAAAGTCCAAGAACCCAGTAATTCTGAATATTACATACCATCGTCAGAACCCTTTAGAATCTACTTTTTTTTTTCCTTGGCACTACAGCCCCAGTGGGCCTAGGCCTACCTCCATGAACTCTCCGTTCACTTCGGTTTTGCTAGATCTTACACATACGGTAGGACTCCTTGGGCGAGTGATCAGCTCATCACAAGGCCTCTACCTGTAGACAGACACAGAAAAATGCACACAAACATCCATGCCCTGAGTGGGATTCGAACCCACAGTCCTGGCTTCCGAGCGAGTGAAGACAGTGCACACCTTAGACCACTTGGCTACCGTGACCGGCTTTAGAATCTACTTACTTCCTACTATATTTGGAGGGGAAAAGTGTTTAAGTCACCAGGTAGAGGAAAAAGTCCTCCCTTGCCATTTGTGTGCACTGAGCTTATGTGCTAATAATGTACAAAATAATTAAGAGGCTTATAAGCTCAGTAGGTTCCCCCCCCTCCAAATCTTTATATATTTTAAATCAAGTTGGTTACTTCCCAGGGGTATTACATGAAACATGTACTGTGACACTGTCCACTAGTGCACTCACTGACAATTAATGCTGTCATACAGGAGACAAGTCTCCTTTCTGTTCATACAGAATTTACATTAATTCAAATAAATTGATTAGATTATGCACCATCATGTGCATACATTCACCTCTGTGCACACACACAAGAATTCATATAGTATTCGTGATACAAATGTGAAGTTGTAAGAATCTTATACATTAGGCATTTTATGAAGTTTTGAAACCATAAAGCAGGGAACAAAGAAAGTGTGAATTTCACTGTTGCATATGATACATCAAGTTGCAGACAAAGGAAATGACCTACAGGTATGGAGAATCATTGCAAATATATTGAATAAGCAGTTACAGGCAGCCACAAGGGGTGGTCCTCCAGATTTGGGGTTGAACATGGGTCTAAAATCTCACCTTAAAAAAAGTCAGTATGTTACAAAACGTTACACAGGGTGTTGGTCTTGGACAGAGTCCTTGGAATGGTGCAAGCAGCAGGAAAGAGACTTGAGATTGGGATCTTAAAGAAGTAGAATGGGAAGGTGTGGAACAACAGGAACCAATGGTGAGCCCTTGTGAACTCAAGCAGTTAGTCACTGGCTTCCCACCCTGGCAGCCCGGGTTCAATCCCGGGTCTGGTCAAGTGGGATTTGTAGTGAATAAAGTGGCGCTGGGGCGAGTTTTCTCCGAGTACTTCGGTTTCCCCTGCCAATCTTGATTCCACTAAATTATCATCATAATCGCCCAGGGCAGGCTACAATAGGCCAATCAGTGTCCGCTGTGCCAAGTGGACCCAGTTGGACTCAAGGCCCTTGTGAATATGGTAATGAACCTTTGGGTTCCATAAATTTCTGGGAATTTCTTGAGTAGCCAAGTAATTATTGGCTACCCAAGAAGGAATTATCTTCCTTGAGCTAAGAAGTTAGTTATTGCAGGCTCATGAACGACTGGCCGAAGTGGAAGGAGAGTCATTGGCAAAACTGGCTGAGCTGGAAACGGAACTTGGAGCAATAAGAGCCGAGAGGGACGAGCTGCTTGAGGGTAGACGGCAAGTGGATGAGGAGGTGAATACATTACGTCGAGCTGTGATGCAGCAACAGCAGGAGTCCCAGAATAGGCAGTCCATGCTAGAGAACAAGATTATGGAATTGGAGACTCTGACTCGTACCTTACCCAGAGGTATGGTGTCATTCGCATTCATATTTTTGTCATTTATGTACTGTGTTGCATCCCAGCAAAAAGTGTTTTTATCCTAAAGGTGCAGATAAATAGAGGATGCTATACAGTCTGTCGCACGACGTTAGTTACTAGTATTTGTAGCAAGGAATGTTCATGTCTCATGTGGACATCCAGTTTTATTTTCTGTGAATCTGAATGCATTCTGAATCATTTGATTTCAATAAGTTTCCGGGCTTTGTATTTCTGTGTTTAGGAAGTGGTTCTGGTGGCGACAGTACAAATTCTTCAGTCCCCATACCTCCACCACCTCCATTGATTCCTCCCACTCTGCCAGCACCTGCTCCTCCTCCTCCACCCCCATGTCCTCCGCCACCGCCCTTGTCTTCATCACGAGGCTCACCGGCTCCTGTGCCTCCTCCTCCAGCTGGAATGATGCAGGCTCCAGATGGTGCTATGACTATCAAGAGAAAAGTACAGACCAAGTATAAGCTTCCTACACTAAACTGGATAGCACTTAAACCTAATCAGGTATATTGCTGTATATTTTGCCAAGATTTCATAAAATGAAACTACAAGTAAGATGAATTTTCTGCAGTATAAGGTACTTCCTTATAACAATTCAAACATAACTGGCAAATCATCAGATTATCCCTGCAGTCATTTTTACTGAAAGGGTATTTTTCTTGAAACAGTATTTTTGAATATGCTTTTAAGTATTCCTGTTCCAGCGAGATTTCTGTTTATCTGTGTCCAAAACTTCTGTATTGATGATGGTGGGAAAAGATGTGTCACACATGGTTTTTAGAATACTGGATGATGGACAAGAGTCCAAAAACCCAGCAATTCTGACTTGTATATTGTACCATATTATGATGTCATCTGCCTCTGTGACATAAACTGAAAAGAAAATGTACAAATGCTGAACTATGTGCTAATATGAGAGGAGCCTGCCAGTAAAGCGCTGAATGTCAGTGTGAAAGATCACATGTTCATGTGGCTGGATACACTGCTGCTTTCCTCACATTTACATGACTTTTTCCTCTGTAATGTCTGACAAAGACAATATATATGACTATGAGGAATATTGGGCTCCCATATGACCAGAAATATCAAAGAATATAATTGGAGGCATAAGCAAGAGCAGCATCATTTTATGGGAGAATTTACATCAGAACTTTCTGATTGCAGTCAGAAGTGTTGATAATGTTTAATGCTGGACAATTCTAGATTTAACCATGAAATGACAAAATGTTGTTACCATGCACAGAAAATCCTCAGAATGTTATTCAGTAATGGAAGGTGTTAATAATTTGTGAATTGTTTTCTGCTTCCAGGTTCGTGGTACAATATTCAGTGAACTAGATGATGATCGGTTGCACAGTATAATAGACTTTGGTGATTTTGAGGAGAGGTTCAAGATTGGTACTGGTGGATCATTTACAAATGGTGATACAGAAGTTGATGGACTTGCTAGTTTCCCAAGCAAGAGGTTCAAACGTACGGAAAATGTTTCCTTACTTGAACATACACGACTCAGGAATATAGGTAAATATCAATTGTATCTTCTAAGGTAATTAGTGAACTAACAATATCCAGACCTTGTTAGTCAGCACTGTTTTTTTTTTAAATTCGCTTAGTGGGGGTAGGAGTCCAACTGGGTCCACTCTCCACGGCAGCCACCGATTGGCCTATTGTAGCCTGCCCCAGGTGATTATGATGATGGAGAATTTAGTGGAATGAAGATTGGCAGGGGAAACCGAAGTACTCGGAGAAAACCTGCCCCAGTGCCACTTTGTCCACCACAAATCCCATTTTACCAGACCCGGGATCGAACTCGGGCCGCCGCAGTGGGAAGCCAGCGATTAATTCATTAGGGTTACAGGTACTTCAGGATGAACTCGTGAGATGGTCATATATAGGTTTGTACACACTAAAGCCAGAGAACCTACAGACTTTACTTTAATAAGCAGTTCTTTAAGTAGTTGCTTCTTTCTAATTTTCTGATATAAGAGCAGGTTTGATAACTGGAATTTAGGTGTAATCACTTATGTATTATGTAATACGTGTGATGTCTTGTGTGTCAGTTTTGCTCTATGTATATTCATCATATTGGTACAGAATGTCTTTCTTTTCCTTCCAAGAGATTTTTATATTGTGTATTGAAGGTTGTGTGCAAAATGACAAAAGATTATTACTATTTGTATGGAGGCCAGATGTAATTACCATTTGAAGAGGTGCTACTTGAGAAGGTTAGATGCTGTAAAGATAAATTTTGAGGACTTAATACTGTCATAGCTGTAATACTATAACCATAATTGATTTTTACTTATACCTCGTGTAATGTTAGTGCACATTCACATAACCTGCTGTGTCAGTCCTTGTTTCATGCTTTATGTAGATGTGTTTTAAACAGAATACGATCTTCCCACTGCCATGGTCCAAGTTTTATCTAATGTCAAGTCATGTGGGAGTTGTGATGGACAAGGTAGCAATGGGACAGGTTTCCTCAAAGTACTTTGGTTTCCAGTTTCTTTATTAAAACTGTAACAACACAGCTATATTAAGGTCAGTGCCAAGTTTGGCTCTGCCACATGTTTCGGCTACCAAAATCAGGCAAATACATGGCGAACATATATACACCACAGAACTGCAGTACCAGTAAAATTGGATACAATAATATTAATTATATTAAAATACTTGGCGTAAAAGTACAATAAATTAGACTATATAAAATGAAAGTTATAATATAAAACATGATTAAAATTCTTCAAGTGATGCGTTACATCGAGTCAGTCATTGGTTTTTGCAATATTGTTGTGTTCCCACGGACAAATTGGAGTATTCCGTATTTTGTGTATATATAATAAACTGTTTTGGAGGCTCGTTATGTAGATGTAGTAATGTTAATGTTAATTATTTAGTCGGTGCCTCATCTTACAAAGTATTGTCCATTCTGTAGGGAATGTAAAAAAATGACAGCTTGGTTTCCCCTACCACTTTGCATTCCATCACATGCTCCACATTCATTAATCATCCTGTCATCAATGTTGTATCATCTTGATACTGAGTGTCATTAGGTAGCAAACTTAAAAAGAATACAGAATTATGTGCAACTGAAGGTTATGGCTAAGTGATAGCAGTCCTGCTACATATTTAGTGGATCCAGGATTCTAATCTTGGCCTAAAGACTAGCTATCCTGATTGAAGTCTTCCATGGGTTTTCTCAGTCCTTTCAGATAATTGCTGGGATAGTACTCAAATTAGGCTACAGCTGCTGCTTTCAACATCCTTTCCAGTTCATTATTTTCTGATTGTCCTGCCATTTCATGCTGTACATTCTGAGGCATCAACAGTATCAGTAAATAAGCCATAAATCAACAAATAAAAAAGGAGAACTGTGGTATGGCTCCATTCTCCCCTCTTAAGGTCATTCTAAAGTTCCTTTCTCAAGTAGTGTTATGTCCCACTAACTCTGAATAACATTAGTACTTATCCATATACTTTATTGTGTGGCACATCTGATAATCATGAAGCCATAGTATGTTTGTCAGAATAGAAATTAAAACTGTGCAGTTTAATACAAAGTATAAGAAGATTTCTGGAGTTCACTGCTTTTTGTAAAGCTCCAATACTAATCTGTTAAATGATATAGCAGTAGATTATCCCAGCCTAACATAGGTATTTCCCATATGTGACAGACATTTCATTATCCTACCCATTGCTTACAGTAGTGGTTTATGGTTTAAAGTGGCCAAACAAATGGTTCTTAACCTTGTTTACATACAATTTTCCATTAATAATGCAACTCTATTTCACATTTTCTGTCACTTCAGTTACACACATGTGAAATTGATAATACTCAGTGCAGTATAACAGGTTTGGCATAATGGCCACCTGATTATGGCCGTTTGGGGCTGAAACATGTTGTGTTAATAACAAAAGCCAATGTGAAATATAGTTGCATTATTGATGGAAAATTGTATGTAAAAGAGGTTGAATATAGTAATGCAGCAGGATGCTTAAATACAAGATTGTAAATGGTTCTTACCTTTAAAATTGCAACAAACAGCAATATCAAGACGTAAGATGGAAATGCCTGCGGAGAAGGTGATCGCTGCTGTAAATTCACTGGACCTGAAGCTCCTGTCCCTGGAAAATGTGGAAATTCTTCAGAGAATGGTGCCTACTGACCAAGAGGTAGAATTATTTGTGTCATGGTTATATATTTAAATTTGGTTTACGCTGTTAATATTCCAGGTATTTTTAACTGGGAGGACATGTTTATAGTAACATTACTTATGTAAATTTTGTTTAATTTTCAAAGAGAGCTGATTGCTGGCTCTCAATGTAAACTTTAAATAGAGTCTGGCATGTAGAAGAAAAAAATATATAACATTCTCAGACTACACCAGTGTTAACTAGCTTGATATGACATTCTGTAGATGTATGGGCTATTTTACACTGTTCTTAATTAATTATTGTTAGAATTGTTGAGATGGCTTTGCCACAAAGCTCTTTCTGGTGTATCGTAGCATCATTCATGTTTATATAATTTTAAATTTAGTATCCCAAGTTACAGTATGAGAGGGAGAGTGTTGTTGGCCTGGAGAGAATTTTTACTAGAGGATGACATTTCAGTCAGGACATTAAGAAAGTCATTAATTAAATGCTTAAGCATGTAGTTGTGGCTTATTAATGTTTTACTTCTCTTACCAACATAGAATGTTTATATCTAGCTTGCCTGTTGTGGTCTGCAACTTAACTATGCTAAACTGTCTTGCTTACATAACCAGTGGTTTTTGTACAAGGGATTATTGTTGACCTCTGTTTTTACTTTACAGACTAAGGCCTACAGGGAATATGTGGGCTCAAAGAAGAATGTGAATTTGCTGACAGAGGAGGATAAATTCCTGTTGCAGTTAGGAAAGGTGGAAAGGATATCAGCCAAACTTAGCATTATGAGCTACATTGGGAACTTCTTCGATAACATTCATCTCATCACTCCAGTGAGTACTAAACACTTAATAAGATCTAAAAGTTTGTGATGATGGTACATTAATGCAAATATTATGTTTCTGGACATATCTATCGCCCTGTTTTTATCTAAAACACTGTCCTGTTTATATTTCAAAACATAACGTTTCAGAGACTAGGTTCTGTCTCCATCTTCAGGTAAAACCTACTCAGAAGGGCTCTGTGAGTGAGTGAAGATGGAGGCGATACGTTCCCCCAAAATGTCGGTCAACACCGCATCTACACGGTGTCACATCCCAGAAAACTGCTTTCTTCAGTTTTTCTGTTGTTGCATATATATCTTTTGCCACAGGAATGTGTTTAATGAGTCATTGTCTAGCATTGGACACCTGCTGCTTCTTCTGTTCTGGTTTTCAGGTGTCATGTCACAACATATAAGTATAATATTTACATACGTCATGGCTGTTTCCTCCTTTCCCAGATCCACATTAACTATTACTAGTAATTTTCATTATGTTGTGTATATCATCAGTATTATCAAATAAATCAAATAGGTTAGTAATAGCTTGAAATAATGAAATATAGCTTTATTGAACTTCCTTGGCACTCTTCGGAAATATGAATTCATGATTAACAGTTTAGAGTAGCTCAAGTATCCTTACTGTTATTTAACTTATAGAAATCATCTGGTTGCACATTTTACTAAAATAAAGCTTTTTTTCTCAGCAAATTCATGCCATCATCTCTGCATCTAGTTCAGTAAAAAGTTCCAAAAAGCTTCGACGAGTGCTGGAGATAATTCTAGCATTTGGAAACTACCTGAACAGTAGTAAACGTGGTCCAGCTTATGGATTCAAGCTTCAGAGTCTTGATACATTACTTGACACCAAATCCACGGACAAGAGGATGTGCCTTCTTCACTATATTGTTGAAACAGTGAGACATAAGTTCCCAGAACTGTTGAATTTTGACTCTGAACTCATGTACATCGATAAAGCTGCCAGCGGTAAGTTATGAATTCACCTTTTCTGTTCTCCATTCTGTGTGGACTAGAAATCCATGCCACTCTTAGCTTCTTTCCGACTATCATGGATAAGAGTAAAAGTCTGCATGATCTAAAATGATGTTGCAGTTCCACTACCAGCCCCCCCTACCCAACATACCCATGTCACTGAAGCATGCACATAGGTTAGTAGCCTGCTACAACATAGGCACATGCATGTATGCACCCTGAACTTCATAATAAGTAATACTTTTAACTAAACCTATTGTTATATTATGCATTTAAAAACATCTTAACATTATCACCCAAGTGTAGTACAAATGTTACATGAAAATATACTCTTGTTGAAGTATTGTGACAGCATGAAGAGTAGAGAATGTATGACATGGAGGCCAGGATGTAAGAGCATATCTTATGATATCAAATTATTAGTGATTTCACATTTTTTCCATAATTATATGAACAAAATATAAGTAAGAAAAATCTTTAGAGGGCACTCCACACAGGTGTTTTTCATGCTGTAGTTCTATTCCACTAACTCGTAATTAAGAGGTTGTTGTTGTTATTGGAGAGGGTGGGTTTCCCCATGCACTTAGACCAGATATTGGTCCATTGTGCGTCCCCCTGTGATATCCTACCAGTCTCTATACCCTACCGGTACTGGTGTGTGCCATCAACCCCGACTCAGCCAGCAAGTTCGGCCTCTACTGGCTCAGCGGTATCTCAATGCTTCCCCCATCTACCAGAGGCGTTAGAGACTACTGTTGGGCAGGAAATGTCCTGAATTTGGCTCAGAGGTCCCCTTGAGACATGAGGTTCTTTTACGTGCTGTAAAGCTACGACACGGGACCCACGGCTTAAAGTCCCTCCTGGAGGACTTGTTCCCTGAATTTTTCCGCCCTTAAAAATTCCACGACCTCCGCTGGGTTTGAACCCGTGTACCTTGAGTCACAAGGTGGGAAAGTTACCCCTAGACTACGGAGGCTGCTTAATTAAAGAGGTTAGTTTGTATTATTGTATCAGTATGTTAAGTACAAGAGTGTCATAGATGGTCTGTGTTTACAGTGTCGCTGGAGAATATTGTGACAGATGTTCATGAGCTTGAGAAAGGTATGGATTTGGTACGCAAGGAAGCAGAACTTCGAGGGACTGGGAAGGAACGCGGTAGTGGTCAGAGTGTAGTGCTGAGAGATTTCCTGGCAAATTCTGAAGAGAAACTCAGGAAACTCAAAGCTGATGGCCGTATTGCTCAGGAAGCATTCCGGGAATGTGTTGAATACTTTGGCGAGTCTCCACGTACTACTGATGCCAGTACATTTTTCTCATTGCTCGTTCGCTTTTCCCGTGCCTGTAAAGTAAGTTGGTACTTCTTTTTCCATACTGGCTTTTATATTTTCTGAATCCATGTTCAGTTTTCTATACTCAGTAGTTATTTGTTGGGTTAGAATTTATAATGTACAGTATGTTAAAGTCTGATGTATTTGAATAACAAGTTCCAGTGGGATTCCCCCTTACAGTTTATGTTGTACTAGTTCAAAGGGAAAGATGTTTCTGGGATAAACTGCTGTGTAGCCCATTGAAAATCATCAAGTGTTTAAGAGCAATGTCACCTCCATCTTCAGGGTTAAAGAGTAAGCTAAACAAGAAATCAGTGTGAATCAGGCTGCAACCAAAGTTTTGCTTGCTGCCTGCTTCATGCTAGTTTCCTACTTAGTTTACTCCTCAACCCTGAAGGTGGATGTGACATTGCTCTGAAACATGAGTTGACTTTCACTGGGCTGCACAGCGTTACATCCCAGGGGACGGAACTCTTCAACATATGTAATTGTTTTGGTAATTTTTCTATACTGTTTAAATAAAGGTAAAGCTATCGCTGTAACGGGCTCTGAAGGCCCATAGTTGGCTCACAGATGGTTGTGAGGTTGTCAGCCTTATACGCTGCCCCCTCCCGGAAGATTCCTAGTAATCATTTTTGTTAGAGGCTGAGTTGACCCCAGGGCCATAGTACAGTTGAAAGGATCATAGGAATTTGTAATTGAATTTGTTTCCAGCTTGCAGATCAGGAAAATGAACAGCGAAGAAGGTTGGCACAGGCAGCATTGGAGGCACTCAACAAACCCAATGAAGAGGTGATGAAGCGCAATAAGCTGAATCAGAAAAAACAGCAGGTGAGTGAGCGTGGAACTCTAAGAAACATGTTCAGATATGATATCCAACTGCATGGATAGATAGGAATGAGTAACTGCCAAACTTGGTTCGCATGAATGCACAGGCCTGCAGCTTTTCTTTTTCTGGTTTGCATTCTTGTCTGTGAAATGTGAACGGGTATATATATAAAACAGAAAGCAGCAACTCTTTGTCATTGTTTCAGGTCTGAACTGCTTATGTTTGTGTTGAACAAGTATTAAATGAACGTACTTTTGCCTTTTATTAAAAATCATTAATTTACTGGACGATTTTTTAAACAAGACCTCAGCATTAGGAGTATTAACATGTATTAGAGAGCTCCAGCTATTTTGATGAAATTCGTAGGCACTATATGGTGATTTTTAAAGAAGAATTTCTTTAAGTTTAAGTTGCTTACAATACATCCTGCTGCAAAAAGTTTCAAAATTATGCACCAGCTTGTTACATTGATAACTGAGCAGGATGGAGCATGTTCATAGATGCTGTCTACAGTGTCATGGGTGAAGTGTAAGCCATGATGTTGGATATGTTTGTTTTCATTTCATGCCCAGGTTTTTACATTAAGCATTGTCTATAATGTAGCCCCATAGGAAAAAAAAAATATGATGGTGAGAAATCCAGTGAGCACTCATTTGCTCAATAACCTCTGCTGTGCAGTTTCCTGTAACAACAGTTAATCAGAGAACGCGTTTTTGTATGTTTATGTTTCCTGTCAGCCTGAACTGTTTCACATTTCCACATCACAGATTCTGTGGCACTGAATATCCAAATAAGTGGTCATAATCACTCTGTTTTTTTTTAAATGATTCTGTCTTGAGCTAATGCTCCACCAAGAACACATGCTTCTTTGCCCTCGGTGCGATGATATTTACTGCTTGCATTGTGCAGTGTGTACTGCACATTTCACAAAAATTGCCCAAGCCCTCTAATGTATGACATTAGTAATACGTATTCCTAACATTGAGATCTTGGTTAAGGAAAAATCACATTTATAACTTCTTGAGTGCAATAATGAAAACACGTGGAATCATTCCATGTGTTGCTGTTCTGTGTCTGAAGTAACAATACTTAATCAATGTAAATTTGGAACGAGTTTTAACAGAGTGCAATAAATATTACGAATATTCATTTTTATATGTCCATCAACGCAACAATCAAATAAACATTTCACTTCCACATTTGTGTCAACGTGCGGTACAGCTACGCAACATGTTTCAGCTCTCACAAGCGGGAAACCCGTTGCGTAGCTGTACCGTAATTTAAATAAACTCAGTTGACACAAATGTGGGAGTGAGTTGTTTATTTGACTGTTGCATTGACGATGTGTAAAAACAAATTATTGATAAACACAACAAGATGCATTCTCTAAAGAAAATAAAATAATATTAATGTTAATAATAATATGCATGTTGTAATTATGAATCATAGTTAACTGTATATGCATCTGATGGGGGCGAGAGCTTTCAGAGGCACACACAGAGTTGTTGCCAGTCACCAGAGACTGATTTGAAATTTTAATCTTTCATATCCAGCAAACATGACAACTACACTGAATAATTTCATCAGAGGCATTTAGAAGGTGATAAATGTTAGAAGTCATAACATTTGTACATACTAGCATTAGCTTGTTGAAGTTATTTGCTGTATTATATATTGATTTTATCAAATAATTTCAAGAGTGTGAAGCTGCATGGAAAGTAACATGACTGTAGTTTGGATTTGGAAAGGAATGAGAAAATCACAAATAAGAAAACCAGCATTATGCTCTGTCCTATTACAGTCTGGTGTTTCAGTTTTTCATCTTGTACACCACAATATGGTGTACATCTTGTGGGTTGGGGCTCTTTGTTACTTTAAGGCTTTTGGTGTAATTATAGAATAATTTTGTATTTCATTCCTGATGGTCAATATCATTTACCTGAATTTATAGTTGTCCAGGATGTTCATCTGTAGTACCATTTTTATCCTCCACTTTACGATTCATTCTGATAATATACAAACAGAAATATCCATTATTTCCTTGAGATATGGTTGCTTTTCTTTTCATACCACAATATTTAGTCGGAAGGACTTCAAAAAGGAATAATGTTCAAGCTAAGAAATTGAAGTTTATTTGTGTAATTAAAAACAGTTCAGCAGTATGAATTTAGACTGCGTCCAAAAGCTCTGCCTTCTACAACACTTTGACATTTAGCAGCCTTGACTACCATACACACTGGCAAGAATTCGGAGTAAATTTCGTACCATCTTTAGGGCTTAATGTGGGACTTCTTTAATAAACCGCCACAACACAACTATATCAATGTCAGTGCCTAGTTTTGGCTCTGCTACATGTTTCGGCTATTAATAGCCGCCATCAGGCAAATACATGGCTAACATATATACACCACTGAACTGCAGTACTAGTAAAATTGGATACAATAATATTAATTATATATAAAATACTTGACGTAAAAATACAATAAATTAGTTTATATAAAACAAAATTTATAGTATAAAACAAGAATAAAATTCTTCGATTGATGCTTTACATCATCGAGTCAGTCATTGGTTTTTGTAATTTTGTTGGATTCCCACAGACAAATTGGAGTATTCTATATTTTGTGTGTATATAAAAAACTTACTGGAGGCTCATGATGTAAATGTAGTAATATTAATGTTAATTATTTAGTTGGTGCCTCATCTTACAAAGTATTGTCTGTTCTGTAGGGAATGTAAACAATGACAGTTTTAATAAAGAAGTTATATAGTATAACACAACAGGATGCAGGAAATGAAAAAATGAAAAAAAAAAACAAAAAAAAAGCTTAATATGAGGTTCATAATAGGAAACAGGAGGCAATAAATGGAGCAGTTATGTGTATGTATATTAGATGATACTTGTTTTGAATTTGCCAATAAATTCTTGCCGTGTGTGTATGTTGTATATAGCTAACCAAAAATTCTTCCACATGGTCTTAGGTCTGTAAACTTCCCAGGCATTGTTTATGATTATGCTAGAATACTAATACTTAGGAACCATAAAAATATAATATGAACTGGATAATGAATTTGGACTGGTATGCAGTATTGCTATTTCTTTAGCATATTATCTTTGCTTTCACTGCCATATCTTGTGTTGCTTCATGAAATGTGTTTTTCTAGTCACTGAAATACACAGCATGAGACAAAATGATGTACCTGTTGTTCTGTAATAATGCTAGGGAATGAAATTCAGTGGAAAGGATTCATATAATATGAAGTGGAAAATTCATAACTGTAATTCAGTTTTCTGCAGTGTCAGAGCCCTGTTATGTGGGTTAATCATAAAGGAACATAGGTAGTATATTGCTTGATGTTAGGGTCAAACAGTGTAATCATTGTGTTCAGAGAGGAATGACCACAGCATCGAAAAATGTGGGTGCTTCAACGAGGTATGTGTCTCCTGAAATGCATTTCTGCACTTGTGCCTGACTGTACAGTCTCCAATACTAGATGTTTCTCCACCAACTCTGCAGGATGCTAAAGCTGCAGTAGAACAAGTATGGCTTATAACAAGAACTTCATTATAGCAACAAATACCATTGGAACCATCAGTTTATTAACATAGAAAACAATCATCTAAAACAAGAGATTTTTTTTCAGGCATGTTCATCATAATGAGTGATTCCCACCTAGCCTCACTGCTTTCTTGTAACTTTTTGCACAAACTGTGCTTGCAGTTTTGATTCTCAAATTATTGTCCCTAGGAGCCTCTTAGGGTTCCAGTAACCCACCCTCTTTACCCTACCCTACCCTTGTCTAGAAGAATGATGTGGTCTGTTACAATCTGATTTAGAAGCTTATAGGGAATGCTGTATATATAATTTTTGTTAAGACTGTATAACAGTAAACATTTGAAGCTTAATACTGGTTGTCTATTCATTCAATAGGCCTATGTAGTTTAGACTTCTTGCCATTTTGAGTAAATATCATAGCCTAAAAGTGAGCTGTTGCATATAAATTGAATGCTTGTTTATTATGAGGAAAGAGTTTGTTGTAATCTCGATTATTTAATTTATAATTCTTTCTGCCATATTTGTCTATTAGTGTACCTGTATATTTTTACAGTCTTGTTTTTAAATGGTTCTCATCAGAATTCAGCATAGTATTGTTTCTGAATTCCTCTGACAGTGTTAAAATATGACACACCTCATTTGTGTAATGCAACAGTTGTAACTTTTTAGAGTTATTTTAAAACATAAATAAATGATAGCTTGAAGTCAGGTACAGGAAAGCATCTGTTATTTGGCATGTATGGGGAATAGGGTCTGCCAGTTACATGAATCTGCAAACTGCGTATAAAAAGTTACAGAAACTCAATACAAATTCTAAGTAGCATGTTTCACTTTAGTATATGTGTGAGAGACTTTCTAGATGACAGTGGCTTGACAGGTGAAAGATTTCTGATATATATATGCTGTAACATGATTACAAACTCAACTAGACTCTGCTGTAGTGGCACTTGCATGAGGGAGAATGACAGGCAGCACTACTATTGGCAGCTGGAAGGACTACAGGATGACAGATGAATGTATGCAGATTGCAGATTTGTTTTTGAATAACTTTATAAAAGTGATAGATATTCTTTAAAATTTTTTCTGTTTGGATGAGAATTCTGGATACTTGGATACCAGGTGACTGGGAGTTTCCTGTAGTTTGAAGCTTGAAACAACATCCAACTTAGAGTTTGATTTAAAAATGCTGATATTCATCACAGACTCTAGTTAAAACTCTTCTGTGCACCAGTTTTGCTTGTTTGTGTAAATTTAGAAAACTAATGTGCAGATGTACCAGTATTATAAAATCAAACATAGAGTACTACTTCAGACTAATAATATGCATTGCAGCCAGTACCTAGTCTAGTGGTCCTGACTCTTGAATGAATTATTGAATCACATTGTTTATATAAAATTAAGGTCTGAGTGTCACATTCTTTATTTTATATATAAAAATATGGCAGCTTTAACTGTAGATCTAACATGCATGTTGTAAGAGCTGCATGATGCTAGTTAAGATTTTCATTGAACCTTAAAAACATGTTCCTTTTTAGAAGTGCGATTAGTAGGATGACTGAATCAACCCCCACTTTTCCTCAATCACATTTTATCTATTACAGAATACTTTGGTTCTTCCCCTTGCGAAGGTTGAAAATGCTTTCAGTGTCACCGGCCTAGTGTGCATCATCGTTTTCCTGTTTTTGTAAAAAGAAATTAATCACTTACTGTACCAGTAATTTACCATATTTGTTACCTTGAAAATTATTCTGCTCAAAAAGTAGAAAGGAAAAAGAATGAAAATACATGGCCTGACAAATAGTTTAATTGATTTACTCAAAAATCACTGTTATCATTAAGCCTTAGTTAAATTGTGTTGCCTTCAAAGTACTGACATTCTAACTTCATTCACAGTCTCCATCAAGCTTGAAAAATGTTCCAGAAGTCCCATCAGTACTGCATATTTAATTTATAATTTATATATAATTAATAATATAAATTCACGTTTCTGTGAATGATTAGAAGTGATTTAAAATGAAGCCCTAACAGCAATTTGCATTGTGCTGAACAATGAATATNGCAGTATAACACACGCAGTCACAGGAGCGAGACGCAACATAGAGCACAATACACGATAGTGAAAGAGTGCTCCAACAGACGATGATAGACGTGACTCGCGTAATGAAACACGACGTAAGAATGAAATATGCTGTATAATTTTAATATTTTAACACTTAACGTTTATCAGTATATATGATAAATATATATTTTAGTTATTTTAGTATGTATAGACAAGGCATGCAATGAACTAGTTTGTCGTGGATTGGATCAGCACCTGAAGATGGCACATTTGTGCCGAAACATGTAGTGAGAGTGAGAAGAGGGGCAGATGAATGTATGCACTAGAAGACGGATAAAATAAATCATGGAAATGAATATGGCATTAAATGTAAAGAAGAGGTCATTACAGTTGATGATGGCTTATTGGAAACAGATGACAGATGAAATATGGAAGAGAAAAGAGATGATGTTTTATGCTCTGTAACTGAGAACATGAGGGAATTAATTATTTTTTTTTATGGGACTTCAATCTGAACCATGAACATTTAATATTTGCTGTTGCTGTAATATCGTTTCACTGTATAGTTATGTAATTTTAAAACATGACCATATATTCCCTACATAATACTAGTATAGCTCTCAAAGTATCCTGTAATTATCCCTGCAACTCAAGAGTTGTACTTAGATTTGATCAGAATGGTTTGAAGGTATATTGTATGTGTAGTCAGAAATCTGGAATGTGCTGTCACATAGTGTCTGGTATTTCTGTTGTGCATATTTGTAGTTATGGACTACCAATGAACATCTTTAATTTGTGTAAGATTTGAGGTCCTCATAGCTGTGGCTGTGAAGACTACTGTCTTGAGGGATATGATATTGTGTAGTCTTGTACATGCCTACCATTGCACTGGAGGAAGTGGAGACAGCACATTCCTCTGAAATCTAAGTAAACTATGAGACTAAATGACATCATGTCGCATAAGACAGTAACCTTCATCTTTAATTTAATCTGTTGCTCATACTTACACATAAATCTTTTCTTTGGGATTTTCTTTGAGCTTTTCCTTGTATTGTATTTGTTAATAGCCAAATTTTCTTTTTATATTATTTTTTCTGAAGTTCCAACGCTCTATTCAGCCTAGTCAATGCCGTAACAACAAGCAGAATATGTTAACATCACAGTCATAACCGTCTGGAAACCTGACTGAAAAACTTGTAAGTTGTTAATGGAAAAAATATCTGGTGAAAGATGGAACTCACAGTATAAGATGCTATTCAGATGGCATGCAGTCACTATTAATGTTTTGTATTCTCAGCCATTGCACCATGTATCAAATTTTGGAGCTTTGTGCTGTAGTAAAAACAACTTCCACTCTTAAATTTTTCTTATGGCCATGCTTTTATGGCATTACTGACATAATTATTAATGCTTTATGATTACAACTTATATATAACTGGTGGCTGGGATGCTTTTGCATAATTATCATTCACTGTTTAAATATGGTATAAAATGTGTTTTCTCCTTTTTTTTTTGTCACAAGCTTTCTTCAGTTAAAAAAAACTTTCTTACACAGTACTGTCTCTTAGGTTGTTGGTGTCTTCTCCAAGTTTTCTATTTTGATTGTTTCATTATTACTCTTGTGGTAAAGATGTGTTCCTTGGTGTACCTATATGACAGGAGTGAAGGAAGCTTCAGTTGGTACTGTTTGAATTCTGTATTTTACATCCTGCTTTTTATAAGCTCTATGTAAACTCTAATAGATGTTTAAGTGATTTGAATGGTAAATTGAAAATGATGATCTCTGAAAAACACAGTCATACTTCCTGGTGAAGATATGAATAACTGCAGGCATAGTACTTTCTTTGGGTTTTTACCCGTGTTTGTGTAAACATGAGTTTACACACATCACTGTTATACCTCTGAGCAGCTCTGTAAAAAGCAGTATTTGTTGATTCCTGTGTGAATGCTGAGGCTGAGCATATCTCTTGTACAGATGTGTTAACTCTTTGGGCCATTGTTATACATCATGTGTTTCCATGAGGACTCATGATCAACATTGGATCACAAAAAGACACATCAAGCACTTGCTGCAAGAAGTGGTAGGATAAAAGTCTTTCCAGCTTTATCTTATGCTGATGTATGTTTGTCTTGACTGGATATCTTCCTGAGAAACTGGAGCCATTAGAGCAGCAATTTTCAACCGGTATACCACACAAGTTAGGGGGAAGGTTTAAAAAAAAATGAAAAAATATTGAAGAATAAAAAATTGTCAAAATCCATGATCAGCATTTTTAAAACTAACACGATTAGAATTTTAGCTATTGAACTTCTGAACACAATCTTATGACTCATTTTTAGTGATAAAATCTCCTTAAAAATGTTGAAAAACTCTGACTTGGAAATTTTGAAAGCACAGACTTCATATACTGAGTACGAGTTATGATTTTGCAAGTTATAAAGGCATAAAATCTGTACAGAGTGGCCCTGAAATATCTGACACATTGAGAGAGCAAGGATCATGAAGCTATGCTTGAAATTCATTTGAACTGTTTATATTCAAGGAGTCTTCAGAAAATAGGATGGAGATAAAAAAAAAAAGTTCTTTCTTGAACAGAATTCACTTTTATTCCAAAATGAATCTTGAAACAAAAGAATGTGCAAGCCATGCATCCTTCAGGATAGCCAGAAGTATCTTTACACCTGGCAGTGTTGCATTTGAGCAGGATGCTGTTCAACAGAGTCCTTGCATTCAACAGGAAAAGCATCACAGATATTGATCATTAACTGGACCATGCTGAAGGGCGATTTGCAAGATGTGAGGCCAAAGAATTTGGTGAAGGCAGAGAAGGGTGCATAGCCATGAAAACGTAAAGGTCATAAAGAAGATTCGGTGGCATGTAAATGAAGAAGCAGCTACTTTGCAGAATGCATGTGTGTAATGATGATAATGTTTTACATACGTAACACTTTATTTACATGCCCACTAATCAAATGTTTTCTAACTCTTCAGTTATTGAAGCCCTTGGCATGTATGAAATATTTAGGAACTGAGTCATGATAGTAAGTAGGCTACAGGCTGAATGACTGGGGTTCAATTCCTTGCAGGGATTTTTCTCCACCACAGTGACTGTGGCCAACCCAACCTCTGTCCATTGGGTTGGGGTGTCTTTCCTGGGTGTAAAGTAATTGGGGCATGAAACTAACCACTCATCTCCATCTGGTGCCAAGGTTAAAAATATGTGGCTGTATCTTATCTTCTCCATCATCCAAATGTGATGCTTAATTGTGCACGCAGCCAGTTTCACATTTTATGTTTGTGTTAGCTGCATAGATTGTATAGATTCAGGTATCAGGATGGCTGTGAGTGCTAGATGAATTGAGGTTGTTGAGGAAGGAAATGGTGATAGCCACATTTCTTAAATAACAGTTCAGAATTTTCTGGTATGGGTTGTGGAAGACCACCAAGTTCTCAAAATGGCTATCACTGAATGAGGAGTTGTCACCACTATACCACAGAATTTAATATTTTATCTCTGAATTTTAAACTGTAATTATTTCATGTACTTGAAAATCCAATGCAGAGCTAGCTGTTTATTTCTTTCAAACACCATGTCTGGTATTGAAAGGATTCTCTCTTTTAATTATAGTTTTTCTGCTTTCACACCTGTATAATCCCAAAGGTTACTGAAATGTCTTTACTCCTGTCCTCATTACAGGAAGCAGTGATCAATGAACTGAAGTGCAAGACTCGACTCGTACAAGAAAAGAAACTTCTTCAGCAGGATGAAGTGTATAATGGGGCATTGGAGGACATTTTACTGGGTCTTAAAAGCGAACCCTACAGGCGGGCAGATGCTGTGCGTCGCAGCCAAAGACGTCGCATTGACAACAATCGCCTTTCCCGAACCATGGAAGAACTAGAATTCTGAGTTGAGGTTTGCCAGATAGGACAACATGTGCATGGTAGCATTCTTTCATTCTGTTGACATAAAACGTGGACAGGAGAAGAAGCATGTGTTGGGAAAGTGATAAGATAATACTGCTCATTCCATTTTTCATACATTTTTGGCTACCTTGATTTGTGCATTATTCATGTTTGCTTTGTTACAGACTGGGACCCATGTAATTAAATAGTTTTAGTGTATTTAATTTAAAATATATCTGTACTAGAAAGTGTTTATAAGTGGAATACAGTTGAAATTATGCTTTATCATCAAAATTGAGGAATTAACATCTTTAGTTCCATACAACATTTTGTATATATGTGACATCAGTTTCTTTCACTGCAATATTTTCCCTGTAAGGCATATCTGAACAGTAGAAGAACTTTTTTTTAATATTTTTTCCACTTTTATCATGGAGTAGTATGTGCTTATATGACATCTTTGTGTGTGGTTTGGTGCTTTTGTGATTGAGATTTTAATGTGCTGCACTAGAATTTCTCCTTACACTACCTCAGTTGTCTAAATTTAAGTTCAGGGATTGGTACTCAGAATGTTGATTTTATGTTTCATGATCAGAAGAATTTAGTGTTGGTATCATCTTCCATAAGAATGTCATTGAAATTGTAAACTGGTCATTGTTTATATTAATTATAATTTACAGATGTGATGACAAAATTAACCCTTCATGTGCTAAGAACACTTCTGACTTGGTACAGTGAAAAGCCATAGAGCTCTCCCGCAAGTCTGGTTCATTGAACTTATAAAGTTAATCAGATCCTTATAGCCGTTTATTTAGGTGTTCCAGTCATGTATTTTGGACTTTGGAGAAGGGCATAAGGGGTTAATACAATAGTGTAGGGCCACTTGTTAATTGCTGACTGTGAGTGAGGTCAAATATTAGACAGATAATGGATAATGCATAATGAATAGTGAAAATTAAAAGATGGGGTACTAACAGGCACAAAAAGAGACTTGCGATGATGTGAAACATGACTATAAGGGTTTGTATATTTTTTTAGTTTTAGACGTTCTGTGTATCGTCCTTGAGCTGCACAGTAAAATGCTCCCAGCCTCTCAGAAACTCATTGGACAAATATATGTGTATATTTTACATAAAGTCTAAAGTTCAGTTACTCTTTATAATTTTATTCGTATTTGCTGAACTTGAAGGAATTGATGTAAAGATGAAATAATATTTTTAATTTGAAAAAAAAAAGAAAGGAAACATGAATTTAATTTATGTCATATGTGACAATGTAAAAATGCAATACTTTTGAAGTTTGGAAACTTTGCCCTTACTGTTGCTCCAGCTTCTTGTCAGCTTTTTAAATGTCTATTTGCGTAAATGAAAACAATTATACAGTTACACATAAAGAAACCAAAGCCATAGGACAAAAAATTCCACTTTTATTTGTATATAAAGGATAACTGTAATTTAATATAAATTGCAATAAATGTGGACATATCATAGTTTAAAGAACATTTTAACTGTACCATGTTTTATTCTTGATAAGAAAATTTGTTCTTTACATTTTCTGTCATATTAATGAATGTACCTGTAAGTAATTTCTTTTCTATAAGGTTGGGAAAAAAATGGGAAAAAGAGTACTGTTTTATTCATGTGTATTGACAAAATACTACAGAAGATGAATATTATAGTGGTGGAGAGAATTTGTTGTGTCCTTAATACACTTCAGGTCTTCAGTCACGGTAAAGAATCCCAGATGCAGATGACTTCTTATAAGCAGATTATTGATGTATTTATGTACAGTTCATCAAGGAAAAAATTGACAAAAGTAATTAACTTACTTTCTTGTCTGCTGTTTAAAAACTTAAACATTAAAATATACAGAACTATAAGTTTGTCTGTAGTTCCGTATGGGTTTGAAACTTGGTGTCCAACATTAAGGAGAGTATAGACTGGGGGTGTTTGAAAACAGGGTGCTGAAGAGAATATTTTGACCCAAGAGGAATGAAATAATAGGAAACTGGAGAAAATTTTTATTATGAGGAGCTGTATAACTTGTACACTATGCCAAGTACAATTAGAATGTTCAAGTGAAACAGAATGAAATGGACAGGACATGTACCACACATGGGAAAGAGGAGGAATGCATGCAATGTTAAGGTGGGAAAGCCAGAAGGAAGGAGACCACTAGGAAGACCTAGATATATGTGTGATAGGATAATATTAAAATGAATGTTGGAGAAATTGGATTGGTGGTATGGACTGGATTCATTTGGCTCAGGATAGGGACCAGTGACAAACTGTTGTGAATGCAGTACTGAATCTTCAAGTTCCATAAAATGTTGGGAAATTCTTGAATAGCCGAGCAGTTTGTGGCTTCTCAAGAAGTACTTGGCTCCATGGAATTAATTAACTACCTACTTCCAAAATTGAACTTAATATTTCTGATATTCTCTCCCCCCCCCAAACCCAGGCTAGAACTTAGGTTACCTTAGATAATTACTTGATAATGTCGCATACTTGACAGAACTGTGGCAATTCATATGTAATCATGGAGCATAAAGTATAATTTAATGAGAATATACTTGGAAGCACAAAATTATAATCATAAGGAAGGAATTAACTACACTTCTAAGTGAAATATTTTATATTTTGGAGACAGTTTAGACACTGTTATGTAAAGAGTTTCAGTGCTTAGGTCCTAAATAACCCCAAAGCAGATATTCATTTATTGAAATGTATTACAACATGAATATGTGACTGTTGTTCTCTTTAAGCTTTCAGATTGCTCAAAACATCAAAATTAAATGTGCTTCATGAAATAATATTCATCAAAATTAGTATTCTTAAACAGCATCTCCACTGGTTAGATTGAAGCTTTCTACTTAATTTGTACTGGAGCATTTTTTTGTGTTCTTGAAAATATGTAAAGTAACAAACATCATATCAGCAGCATAACTATTATATTTCTGGACACAAAGAATTAACACATTGCGGACCGGTGGTTTAAACATTTAAATCACCCTGGGGACCAGCGTTTTTAAACCTACTACCCTAACTTGTGCACTGTTCACTTTAAAAAGTAATATAAAATCTCCTAATTAATTTTATGAACTGAAATTTTTTGAGAACACTTATCAATGATGCTAGAAGTGCTTAAGTGTGTGATATTTCTGGAAACACTCCCCTTTATGAAGTGGCATNCGAACAGATGGCTCCGGCTGCACTACTTCTGTGTCTGACACAGGTACTGCCGCCACCGTGACAGTAGCCCAAGCTTTTGCCAGTTATTTCTGCTCACCTTTTTGAAAACCGTAAATGAATTGAAAATTGCACAGTTTATAAGGCACAGTGCAACTTTCTTCGTCCATTTTACTGTTTTCCTAGGTAGGGAATAATAGGCCAAGAACTGGTCGGCCCTATCAACTCCTTTCATGAACATATTATACTCGGAAATACAAAGAGGCTTCTTTACTTGCCCGTGTCATCTTTGAACATCGACCATGCTCGAATTGTGAATAGTGGAAACCATATTCACAATGCGAGTATCGCTCCAAGACTGAAGAAGAATGTCCTCCTTCTTCCTGAATGCGGTGTCGCCACGTTTCAGGCGTTTACATTCCTCTTTCAGATCTGGAGGGAGGCCTCTGTTCACCCTAATTGTACCACAAATACGTACTTTCCTTGAAAGTAGGTATTGCTGTCCCGACACTCGCACTTTCAATGGAGCTCTCACTTTCACTTGACACATTTTGGGCAGCCCTGTGGCCCCCGTCACTGTCACTGTCACTGATAATGGCCTCGCTATCAGAAGACGAAGCAGTTGGCAAATCTGATAGCTCATCGGAGAACATATCTAATATTTCCTGTCCTCCGAGAGATCACAACTGCTTTCGTCTCTGAGCCATGTTGAACTGGTAGCTGCGTGGTTGATACGTGCAAGCTTGGATTAGAACAAAGCCAATTTTGTTTAGGTTGTGACAGGAAATGACTCTGGTCGAGTTACTAGATAAGGCAGCAATCATTCCCGAGGTCATCTACGCAGTAGTTACGATTCAACGAAGCCACACAGCGATATATAACGTTTTGCAACATAACGTGACCGTAGAGGGCCATATGGCCTGCCCGGTCTGCAACGCTTGGAAACGTAGAGGGCCATATGGCCCGTCCGGTCTGCAATGTGTTAAAATGTCTAAAACTTTTAAGTCTGTTACGTAAGTTCTGGATGTGAATAAATCAGTTTTTAAGATTAAAACAGAAACAGATACTTAAGCATATGGTTCCATATTCTGTTTTTCTTTTGTTTGCACAGTCTCTCTTTATGGATATATTCTGTCTGAATCGACATACTACAAGATATCTTGTTATGTTCAGTTATATTTATGTTTAATGCACAAAGTTGTTTCATTTAAACTGCTTCTGTGTTGTGACACTGCTTTCATTCGTTGTGGTGCTTGAATGTGCTGCTGTTAGGTTGTCTTGCTGTCCGCTCTATTTGTGTATACTAAGTATGCTTATTATAAATTGAAAACAGAATGAACAGCATGAAAAAAAGCAACAGATGTGCTACTAGTGTTCAGCATATTCCAAGTTTGATAACTTTTCAAGGTGAAGTGGCTGTTATCTGGTTATTTTTATAATACTGAGTACTGAGAAGAAGAAAAACGTTTTGTAAGTTGATTTTGCATTCTGATGTTTAATCAACCAGATATTTAGTAGGCTTTAAGTGTACATTATAATACATTTTGTGTGAAAATAATTGTTTGTCGGTTTGTAGGTCTGAGGGGTATGCTCTGCTGTAACAGTTCTACCATGTAACAAATTTGTATGGACAGTAACAAATCATTATCTGAGTACTGGCATGCCCCATCTCTGTACTTGGTCAAAAATGAGATAACACACTCTTCTAATTCTCCATGTTATATTGCACTGGCTCCATGTTCTTTCATATGTTTACTTTGCTTGAAAGTGTGCGACTTCAGAATATGTTTTGTTCTCAGTCACATTTGAACTACAGTTGATTTCCAAACTTCAAATTGAGTTTCTTGAAAACTGGTGTTGATGGACATAGCACATTCTAGTACTCAGGTGGTGAAATATGTTATATGCTAATAATGGAAAGGAGACTAGCATAAGTTTGTGTAGGGCCTACCAGTATTTTATGTTGTGGTAGACAGAAAGAGGCAGAGTCTTGTGTCCAGAAACATATAAATGTGGCAGACATTATATACAGCCTCTTGCCATATGGCAGGGAATGCTTTGATGTTCACTGTGGAAAATATACACCAGTAATTTATATCTGTCCACATATATGAGCCAGACTTAGTGATAATATTGCATTGAAACATCTGAAGAACAGTTTAATGTAACATCACATTTTTTAAAAAAGTTCAGCTACATTCCATCTGCACTGCATTCATGAATTGGTATGGTTGTCTATAGATAATGAATAGCATAAACAAAACTGCCTTGGTACCATGTTTGCTTGCATAGTTTTCCCCACCATGTTTATTACAGCATTGACTTCTCAGATTGGTTCATCTAATGAAACTTTGTTCATATAAGTAAAATATTTAATTAATTAGCAAATTATGCTAATGACAGTTACTATGCTTTGTGGAATTATGTATGAATTTAGTGGAATTAAGACTGGAAACACAATAAATGTGAAAGTGTCACATTCTGCTATATTCAGGCATAAACACACGAATGTATAACTCGTATGAGAAGTTAATAGAATGTGCTGCCTTATACTGCAGTATGCCTGCTTTTAAGGTCACAGTTTTTACTTAAATGTCCAGACTTCGTCAACTCATAAATTGACATTGACGTGCAAAATTAATTTAGAACTGAATACAGTTTACAGAATCTGGTCTTACTAATATGCGCCTTTTTGAAATCATAAGTTTTGTCAAGTTCGTATGCAGTATAAATCTATCAGCTTTTCTAGCCTTGAGAGGTGACATTGCTTTATTCTTGCTCTCTTATTGTGCTCATATGCGCCAGTTGGTATATTCATATAAGAACACAAAATGGGCATTGCAGAAATAGCATTATAATTATTACTTAAACAAAAAAGCCCATGAGATGATATAATTATGAATATAAAAATTATTTATAATTTTTATTTTTGTTTGAAAATTCTGCCAAGCTTACAACTTTGCTTCAAAACATCAGTAGCCAGTTACTCCCTGACTGAATGCTTTTTAGAGTTAAGTATTTCTCATACATTGCAACCTTGGTGTTTTGAGACTTAATAGAATTTCCAAAAATGTTCATTCTAATGGATACACTTAATCTCCAATAATGACTGAAATATATTACTACAAGTCCTTCCAGTAACTTCCAGTTATTGTGTGGCTCTAAGGTTTGAATGAAAATGTGGGTGTAGAAATATTTCTTCTTTGGAGTAGTTATCACAGGGATATGAATAAAACAAAAGTATTTCAAAATTCTTAGTCATTGCCATTATCAGAACCAAAGAGTTGAGGATTTTCTTAAA